GTTGGGTTGGGTTGAGTTGAGTTGAGTTGCGTTGGGTTGGGTTGAGTTGAGTTGAGTTGCGTTGGGTTGGGTTGAGTTGAGTTGAGTTGGGTAGAGTTGAGTAGAGTTGCGTTGGGTTGGGTTGAGTTGAGTTGAGTTGGGTAGAGTTGAGTAGAGTTGAGTAGAGTTGGGCAGCCTCCTCTGCAGAGCCTCGGCCGGTCACCGGCGCTCACCAAACTTTCTGTTCAAACGTGATACCAGGATATTTGTGGAATTTACAACATTTTCTAAGTCGACTTTAGCAAACGTGATTATTTCAGACGTGTCCGCTGTTAAATTTCAACCTGGGATAGAGCAGAACAACACCTGCTTGGGGAGTTTTGAGCCACATTCACCAACACGGTGTGGAGAAGCTGACCCACTGAACCAAAAGCCTTCAGTGAAGTCATCCTGCCCTTATCTCCACTCATCAAATAGACAGGAATCATTCTCCACCAGCAGGTGCCACAGAACGTACTGATCCTGTTCATATAGTTTGATTTGGGTTAGCGAGTAGTTCACCTCTGAAGTTCACTGCAAGATTGCCAGGATTTAAGATCATCTTTCCTGCTCCAGTCATGGTGCATGAAGCCAGCAGAAAGATTAGATATGTGTTCATCTGTCATTGAGAATGGTTCCCCTTAACTATCCTTTTTTTTCATTTGATGAAGCGTTCTGTTTCAAGCAGAGCTGGGAATTTATCAGGTGTACTAAGGATCTCCATCTTCAGGAGGCATCATTATTAATGGAGCCATAGAAACCACTACTACTTGTATATTGATTAGCAGAAATAAAAATCTTCATGTCTGCCCTGCTGCTGCACAGCCTTTAACACACACACACACACACACACACACACACACACACACACACACACACACACACACACACACGCACACACACACACACACACACACACACACACACACACACACACACACACACACACACCATGGAGCAGGAATGGGCAGCATGGTCATGGTTAAAATGCCACAATCCCAGGCTGATTTGTGAGGGGCTGATAGGCTCGGTTGGGATTTGGATTCACATCATGTCAGCAGATCACGTCAAACAATATCAATTGCAAATGAGTTCAACATATGACCGTCTTTTAGCCGACTGAGAGAGAACTGGGAAGTTAGCAGTGATGAAGGTGATAAAACATCAGACAAAACGCTGCTTGATGAGATCGTGACTCACAAACTTCCCCCATTCTCTCCCTACATGTGCAGACTCTGTAGTTCAGATCACACATCCTCTGACTGGATGCCTGTCCCCTGAGAACCAGCGAATAACACTGGATGTGACTGACTGAACCCCCTGATGCTGGGGGTGTTTAGCACCCAGCCATCCGAGTGAGGTTACACTCCTCATCTGCCTGTGTTTTCATGTAAAATGGTCTTTTTATGGAATACAGATATATAGTTGTGTTATGGTGTTGAACAAGTGGGGTTGAAGGGTTCAGCCACAGAAAATGACCTGAGTGAGTGAATACTCTCTTTCTAGACGAGTAGGCTCAGCTAAAGCCTTTGGAACCGGGTAGGTGCAGATATTTTCTTTGGACCTGTGGTAATGAAGAAGCCCCTAGCTGCCGTAGTGAGACACTCCTTTAACTGGATCCTTGGACTTTGGGATGGACAAAGATAGTGGGGAGTGTGCAGCCTTTTGGTTGCCTTTGATTTGAGTCGGCTGCCTGTGGACGGGACTTATTTGGATTTGAATGAATTGGGTTTAATTGGATTATGGGTGGTCACTTAATGGTTTCCATTTGCCAGTGGGACCCATGCTATGTGGAGCTTCCTGGTTTCTCACGCCTTTGGGTGGTGGGCGCCTTCCCTCGCTCTATTTTATGTGGCCACATGTATATATCCTGGAAGACATGCCCAAGTCCTGGTGAGGTGTGAGTGGGTGGATGTCTTGGTCAGTCCTGGCACCAGGTGAAGGAGGCAGCTTTCCTAGGACTTCGCTTTGTGATAATGTGGCATGTCGGTAAATATTCCAGTGACCATGCCAGTAATCGTCTACGTGTTCTCTTATTCTCAAGGAACTGTAAAGAAAACCCAATGATTCAATTTCTTCATCGTGTGCTGCGTACTGTTTAAAGCCACTCCCCTGCACCCCTTCCTGACATTCCTGCTTTGCCTTTGCAAAGGTTCCAAGTTTGTCCATTTTAGAAGCTAGTGACCTCATAATTCCCATGATGATCAAATAAAAAACATCAAGTTGGTCTTTTTTCTTCATTTTGTTCCCTCTCTTCACCCCATGTCTTTTACTGATCCTCTTATTCCAAGCATTACTTCTGCTTTAAAATGACTAATCAGCTACGTATAAAGGCAAGTAACCTCCCCGTTGGCCAGAATTACCAGCAGATGCTCAAAGGACACAATATGTTTAAAGCTGGAGGTAAGCTGCCTTTGGTGTGGCTCAGCAATTGAGTAGATAAAGAACACTCCACATCTGGAAAACAAAGCATGTTCTTCTGCCTGTATCCCCACACAGAACCTGTAAATGGACAGTTGTTCTATCATAGCTGATGACATTCTTGTAGCGCCTTAGCGGACTAGTTCTCCAAGCTTTTTGCAATAAATAACAGAACTTTAGTCCTTCTACTTTCAGTCCTTTAGAATGTCACCTTATGCACACAATGCCCACCATAACACTTTCATGTGTGTGTTATTTGACCATTTTCAGAACAATGGTGATTCAGTCTTTCAGAACTCTACATTCTCTGCTTTTATTGCCAGTCCCCTCTCAAAGAAGGTTGCAGATGGTACTAAATCCCGAAAGCTGAAGACCACCCACCTGTTGCGCATCGATGAGCATGACTTCACCATGAGGCCTGCATTTGGAGGTAAGCTTTGTTAGCTGCACATATTCGGCGGCCATTTTGACCTTAGCTCTCCAAATGAAGTTCTTTCCTACAGTCTGAATAGAGAATAAAAACACTAAAAATGTGTTTGGCAAATAGGTCAGATGTGAGGGAAAACGTGGTAGTTCCACTGCTGGAGTAGCTGAGCAGATGTGAGACTACATTACCTGGATTAAAAAGCTTACATCACTTTTCTGAAGCTGTTGTGTCTTCCTAAATTGACAGAGGCAAACATCTGCTCCAAGGGATTGTGGATCGTTGCTTTACATCATGAAATTCATGAAAATTGTATGGAGAGTAATTTAGGGGGCAATTAAAAAAGAGGAACTTATTTTGAGCTAAAGAGCCTTGTTTAAATAGTCCTGCTTAAGAAGAGAAGGAGGTAAGCTCATGTTCCATCAGATTTCATGCTTTTCTGGGACTATGGTTGTAGCCACAGATAGATGCGTGAATCCCACAAAGGGTGGCTTTTTGTTTCATGTTTGTAAGCTGCTGTTTGCTGGATCCTGCAGACAAAGAACAAGAGGAAGAATGTTATCCTCTTACATGAACATTGTCAAAAGCTGACTTGTGTAAACACCCTGCTGCAGCCAGTGAGACGCCCTGTGATCGTTTGGCTGAAGAAGAAGCTGTTGGCTCCTCCTCATTCTAAAGCAGCCACTGCCGCGTTATTAATGAAAGCCTCTTACACCACCCTTCTTGTGGTTTATTTTAAAACAATATTTAGAGGAACTCCTTTTGTATGAGCCTTCAAAGCCTGACTGCACAGCCTCTTGTTTCCAGAGGTACAATGGGACAATGAGCAGCTTAGTCTGAACCACTGTCCCAAAGAACAACCATTTCAATATGAAAAAGTATCATGGCTTGATTTGAATTCCTCTCTGCCTCTACAGAATGCCATAGACAGAGAGCTTGGATAGAGCAGTGGTGTAAAAGCTGGGGTCTGATGAAAGCACCCAGCTTCCTCAGGCAATGGCCTCCTGCTGCTGAGACCCAGCCACTCAGTAGATAACAACAGTAGATATCTATAACAGTAGATAGTTACAACAGTAGATATCTACAACAGTAGATAGTTAGTTGGACTTCATTTCTGACATCACATGAACTTGTGACTTCCTCTGCCCTTCTATTTATAGATGGACTCCATCATGTCTGCCTCGGGTTTAACAAAATCTAACCGGGTGCTAAGACCTGCCACGCATTAGTCATATTTGCATTAAAATGATAGAAAAGTGAATTTCTGAAGAATCATCCATCCAAATGTATTCCATCATTGGGATTTCCCTCTTAACTTAGTGGCTGTAATACATAGTCCTAGCTGTCTAATCTAACAGGGGATTTACAGTTGCTAATCCATGAACAGTGAAGAGTGGGATGGGTGGGTGTTTTCTCTATTTTTAAGAATTTACATACAGACAATTCTCCTATCGGAGGGCACACACAGCGATGTCCACTCACTCCTGGTCCACATGTAACCTCACAGGCATGCTTTCAGATGGAGGGAGCAAGACCCTGAGAGAAGCCAGCTTACGTAGAATGAACACATAAACATCACGACAAAGAGACATCCCAGTGGTACTTTAAAGAAAAAAGAAGCCTAGGGTCCCCACGAGCAAATATGTTTGTGACTTATCTGGATGAAAACTAACTGTTGTTTCCATGGGCACATTTTAAAAAGGATAGACTTACAGGGGTGGATGATGTATAATCTTTTGGCCTGAACGCTTTAATTTAGTATTACACTTATGAAGTAACATGTTGAAAATGAAAAAAAGTAAGTAAGTGGGCTCCTTTGATCCCGGCATCTCCACAGGCCCCACAGCCTCCTCCATCCTCCTGAAACCTGTGAGTGGTAACTGTAAAAATCACAGTACAGTGAGACACTGAAGCACTGAGATCTCATTGTATTAAATCATGTTACATCATTCTCTGTAGACTGTAGAGATCTGACCTCAGCCAACCACATCTCATAAGTTCAGATTCAGCTCTTTGAATGGTGCCAAAGGAACAATTAGCGATTTTGGTTTGAACATTTGGTGACACAGCTGCAGTGGAATGAGAGGTGGAATAACTTTAGCAATCAACAATAGAAAGATGCATGCTAAAACCCAAAACCATGACTGCATTTTACTCTGCCTCTGCCTCCAGAGGTTCAGGTTTGAAATTCTAAAACATTATCCATGCCAGCTAAAGAGCCTGCAACCACTGATCAAGAGGAAACACCAAGAAAGCAACATCTCAGACACTCAATGGTCTGAATACAAATCAGGTTCTAAAGATTCTTCTACAGCTGCTGTAGTCTTCTCTCTAGCAGAGACAGTTTACCTGTGAGGAAGTGAATGAAGTCACCTTTACTGAGACTTAAATTAATATCAAACTCGGCAGAGCCTGGACGCTTTTTCAGGCTGTGGGAGTACAGAACCTTCAATGGACCAGACCTACAAGAAAATCAGAAGAGAGGATAACACGGAGCTCCTGGCAAACCCTGGGACTGTTCTTTTTCTGTTTTATACATGCTGAGTAATAAGCAGGCAAAGGAGGCATGAAGGGTAAAGGCAAAGAGAGGGAAGAAGATGGCCGCTGGCTGAAGGTTTGATGAGGCCAGCATGTCATGTGTGGCATATGGTGAGAGACAGAGGAGGAAGGACACTGCTAACAGCTGGAACTGGGCAGTGGTGAATATACCCTCTTCCAGGTAGCAGCTTTGCTTAGTTATGTAAGGCTGGCGCCTTTACTGCTCTGCAGATTAACAATTCCACAGCAACCAATGTGACTTTTACAAACAAGTGACAGCAGGGGATGTGAATTTGTGTTGCTGTTGATGATAAGGCCACTGGAATATCCCCATAAATCCCAAGCACTCCTTAGACGTAATCCTGACCGTCCGCTAAACAGCATACGTCCAGCACAAGAGATGAACAGACACATCATCTGTTTCCTGTTATCCTTACCTCTCGTGGCTTCACACAATCCCCTGTGCTGTTACCTCCGACCATGACCGTGGACTGGGGGCAGCTCGTATCACTGACCACTGATCCTGTCATGGACGGACTCTACTCCTACTGCACTTTCCAGCCTGGAGCTTTCACACTCTAAGTCACATCCCCCATTCCCACTTTGGAGATGGAGTGCTGCTTTTCCTCTACCGCACGATAGGTGTCCGCAGTGACCTTCTTGGTGGGGTTCTCCTCATGTCTGGCGGCATCTTTCCACCATGGAACAGCAATTCTTTAGAGCAAAAAAGGTTGACATGTTGAAATATCTTGCATCCAGATGTTACAAAGTTAAAACATGTGAGGACAGACCCACCATCTCCATGTGCATACACATGGAGGCAGTCCTAGGAGAATCAGTATTTTGGTGATCTCACAGCTCCGCTCTGACTTAGGTGTTGCAGATTGCATGTGTTTGAAGTTCAAACTGCCGTTTAAAGTTTATAAGCAAATGAATATATGATATGTTAAGCAAACACAGATGAGGGAAATAGAAATGCAACCCTGAGTGATTTTAAATGTTTCCGTCTGCAGGCCCTGCCGTCCCTGTTGGTGTGGATGTTCAAGTGGAGAGTTTGGACAGTATATCAGAGGTGGACATGGTAGGTGATATGCGTGTGCACGCCACAAATTCTCAACAGCACAAGGTGGTTGAGTAAAGTGTTTTAAACAACACAAAACTGCCTTCAAATAATAAGAAAAGAGGTTAATTCAGCTTGCATGAGAAAATGAAGAATCACATGGAGTTTTCTGTCGGTTTAACTTCATAATCAACCACCAGTAGCTAAAAGAAGGGTTCTGTGGGCAGCAGTAGTATCATATAATGCAAGTGCCATGTGGCATGCTGCTCACAAATGAGCGCTGCTTGTCAGAGTGGGGGGAAGCGTCTCCTCACACAGCACAGCTAATGAGCCAGTGAGGGAACATCTTTCACTAGCAGCATGAGGCTGGGCTCAGCCCTAACTTCTTATTCACAGCTTCACATGTGTTGCCTTTTAAACTACTAGAGCATTAGATTTTCTGCACTTTGCGAGGCCCGGCCGGAGCACGCTCTGTGTGGATGCTGTGTTCCATAGAGATATCTGCTCCGGTCAAATACCCTTAGCTTTCCAAAAGCCTTCACATCAGAGAGGCTCAAGGCCCTCCTCTCTGCAAATTCTACCGGCGTATCTTTCTCAAACCACCCACATACATATATCTGTGAAGATTCTCAATCATCCAGGTCCAGCTTTAAAGTCCAGTTCAGGCAGCTGGAGGGGAAGTTTTCTAGAAGCCGTTGGTCCTCTGATCCAGAGGCATCTTCAGCTCTAACTGATGGTGGAGCTCCGAGTTAATATACTGTAGGTGAAACTAAAGAATTGAGGGGGGAAACAAAGGTGGCCCCCCCAGGTGACCTCCATGAACCCCAGCAGAGCCCCATTTGGTTTCTTTAGTTCCACTTACAGTATATGAACTCAGAGCTCCACCATCATTAGAGCTGAAGAAGCTTCTGGATCAGAGGACAAACATCTTCCCCTCCAGCTGCCTGCCTGAACTTTCCACCGGCCCACATTTCAATATCCTCAAAGTAGTGTTTCTTTGTGTGCTTCTCTGGAACTTGTTTTGTGTCTGGATATTTAGGCTTTTTGGTGTTTTTTCAGATGTCTGTATGAAGGTGATGATGCACTGAGGTTTAGTGTACCTACCATGTGTCTGGGACTTTTTAATGACTGTATTTGGACTCTTGGCCTTGCTTTCAAACTGAGCCTGCACTTCAGAATGTTTTGGGTCACATACAGTAAACTCACAGTAGTAGTTTGGCTAACCATACATTCTGAACCAGGGAACTAAAGCAATTACATGTGAAGCCAGAGCAGTTCCATCTGAGATGGAGCAGTGACCTCATGAATTTTATTAGATTAATCCTGACTGTGGTGTTTCTTCTGGACAATCTGGATAAAAAATGTTAATGTGAGAGTTAGAATAAATGAACCAAAGTGACTCCAAAATGAAATACTAACATTCAATATAAACACTGAAGCACGTTATAGGTATGAACATTAGTGCTATGGCTCTGAGCTCCTCTGATGCAGCCACAAAGGTACTTCTAACTTCTAAGGAGTGTGTCAGCAGTGAAATGTGTTGCTGCTGCCATTATTCCAAAGTGATCTGGTCTTATGTAACGCTGCGATGAGAATAGGATGAGGGGTGGAGCAGGGCTGGAGGAGGACTGGAGCAGGACTGGAGCAGGAACAGGACATTAGGGCTGGAGGAGGGCTGGAGCAGGACTGGAGCAGGAGCAGGACTGGAGCAGGGCTGGAGCAGGACTAAAACAGGGCTGGAGCAGGATTAGAGGACAGGACTGGAGAAGGACTGGAGGAGGACTGGAGCAGGACTGGAGGAGGACTATAGCAGGACTGGAGAAGG